ATGGTGTACATGTGTAATTGTGTACATCTGTAATCGTCCAGCGATTGATCGTATAGACTAGGTACCGAAGGTTCTGCTTTTGGCAGCGGGCTATCCCCTCATTACGCCTTAGGTTAACACGCATTTATAGGACAGACGTGGTAGAACCTATTGACAAACACAAAGTCTACGCTACAAAAATAAGTTATAATTTGGCCTCTCTCACTGAATGTCAGATAACCAGCAGAATCTATAAACCTCTTACGCTCTAATGTTACGTAAGCAGCGTTCGTTTACGTAATAGACTCAACAGATACCCGACTACAAAGGAATCCTTCAGACTCGAAACATAGAATCACTGTGTCTCAATCGAGGTTTCAAAAACACCTATGCCAACAGTATAACAGACTGAAGCGCAAAGGACATGCCGTAGATTGAAACTCTACTCACAAGGCGACTGCGGTTGCGACTCTGACGTCCTGCTTCGACAGAACGGTCTCTTTTCTATTTCTCACTTTCACGCGCATAATGAGAGGGCAGACCTAGAGTATCACACGGATGCACTAAACACGTCGCGGGTCACACCGGTGATGTCAGAAGAACTTCACGGTCGCTAACTTTCGGATAGGGAGGGGAGGCAATCCTCGGGAGTCCGTATATACCAGCGCGTCCTACCATGGAACTACCGCCACGTGAGTGTACCAGTCCCTGCAAAAGTAACATCAGTATTACGAGAGGCCAGGACTGTCATCAAGCCTTCTTGCCTTTTGCCGCTACACTTCTGCATGTTAACATAAGTGTGGCTTTTGCTTTCATTACATTACCCCCTTACTATGAAAAGTTGTAGTTACTTATTTTATAGCGAAACAACTTCAATGATTTTTTTTTTGACTATTGTACGTTTATATACACGTTTTATTTTAAGCAGGTTGCTCAATTGTTATGTATTTTTAATGTTTCCTAGAATTTCCATTCCATTTGAGGATTTCGGTTTGTTTTTTGTAGGAATTTTTTGTCGAGTTAAATAATGTGTGCTAACCGCTTGACCTAACATTGTTTATTACACTAGCGAGGTGTCAAAATTGCTTCCGATGTCTGTTAGTCGTCAGTTTCCCTGTCGGGTGCAACACTGGCGTGGCCTGGATCGGGGTTCATCGGCTGGCCGTTGGTTCCGTGGGAGCCTCTCTGGGGCTGGATCCCGGATATCTCCGTGGTGGTCCGGGACATCTCCGTCGTTGATTCGGGACATCGCCCGTCGGTCGGTGCGTCGTCTGTGCGTAGGTGGTGACTCCAGTTTCCGGTGTTGGGTTTGGTCTATATTTCAGGCGTACAGGCAGATGAATCTTGAGAATATTTTGTTCACGTGGTTTGTGTTATAACGCAATCGAGTTGCTACTCGCGCGGTGGAAGTAAGCGAGCGGCGCAGAAAGCTGGTGAGAGAAGGAGGAGCGGGGAGACAGGGAGAAGCTGGTGGGATTAGCTCATCAAAAGTGCTAGCATATTTCGAAGGATACCCATCGAAGCCGGTGACTGTGCAGACAGATGCCAGCAAACGGGGAGTTGGAGCTACACTTCTGCAGAGCGGAGGACCAGTTGCATATGCTAGTAAAAGCTTGACAGAAACGGAAAGTAACTATGCTAACATTGAAAGAGAAATGCTCGCTGTAGTATTTGGACTGGAGCGTTTTCACTACTACATATATGGTAGACACGTGATGGTAGAATCCAATCACAAGCCATTACAGAGTATTACAAACAAGAGCCTGTCAAGTGCACCATCAAGACTAATGCGTATGCTATTACGTGTGCAGAGGTATGATTTCAAGGTTACGTATGTACCAGGAAAAAACATACCAATTGTTGATGCATTATCGAGAGTTTCGATCGCAGGGAGAGCAATCCCTGACATGGATGTTATAGTGCATGAGATGGTAAACGTAGTACAGACACGGTTGCAGCAAATTAAGCGGATGACCAGTGAAGACACTGTCTTTATAACTCTCAAGGAGATAGTTATGACAGGTTGGCCAGATCTACGGAAGAACTGTCCAAAGGCAATACACGAGTACTGGAACTATCGAGAAGAAATTAGCATCTATGACGGCATTCTTCATAAAGGAGACAGAGTTATCGTCCCTAAGAAGATGCAGGAGGATGTGATGAAGAAGATACACGCAGGACATCAAGGGGTTGAGAAGTGTCGACTTAGAACCAGAGCAACGGTTTTCTGGTGTGGAATTAATGCTGACATCGAAAAGATGGTCAAGGAATGCGCTGCGTGTCAAAGAAACCAGACATCACAGGCACCGGAGCCAATGATACACATTGCAGCGTAGCGACCATGGCAAATGATTGGTTCTGACTTATTCGTGTGGAATCAGGCGCATTACCTCATTGTGGTAGACTACTATAGCTCATTCCCAATTGTGAGGAAGCTATCAACCGTAACATCAGCAGGTGTGATTCAAAGCTTGAGAGGAATCCTAGCAGAGTATGGAATCCCAGAGACAATCATATCTGACAATAGGCCGCAGTATAGCAGCAGTGAATTTGCGAAATTCGCAGAAGAGTACGGGTTCAAGCATGTAACCAGCAGCCCAAATTATCCTCAGGCGAATGGAAAGGCGGAAAGATATGTTGGTGTTATAAAGAAGAAGCTAGAAAAAGCTCGAGAATCTGGACAGAATCCCGCGCTAGCATTGCTGTGTATTCGTACTACGCCACTGAGTGCGAGATTACCATCACCAGCCGAGCTGTTATTCAACCGGAAGATACAGTCGAACTTTCTTATGGTTAACATGACTGCGAATGACGAAGAAGTACAGGAAGGAATGAGAGACAAGCAAGATAGATCACAGGCTCGGTATGATGCTCATACAAAACCGTTACCTGAACTACAAGCTGGACAAAGCGCTAGGATACAGCACCCAGTGACAAAGAGATGGGAACCTGCTAGAAACGAGTGCACAGAACTACCTCGTTCGTATGTTGTCGAAGCTGAGACGGGTGCACGGTATAGACGGGACAGGAAACAGATTAGACAGACAGGCGAAAATTTCAATTTTGAGCGGGAACTAGAAACTGACGGACATAACAAGATAGAGACACCTGTTAGTGTTACCAGTGTACCACACGCTACACTTAACAGCTCAAATAGTGACAACACGTATGTCACGAGATCAGGTCGAGCGGCTAAGGCACAAGTGAGGTTAAATTTGTAATGTATATGGTAAGCACTGAAGTACCCTGCGGATTTTTTGCGAGTTACATATATATATTTCTAGTGCATGACTATGAAGCACTCGCGCAGGAAATGTTTATTTTTATTAAAGAAGAGATATGTTATGATATATGACCGCTAGACGTCGCGTGGGAAAACACAGGGTGTGTCGCGTGGTATGCGCGCATGGTGATGTAGAATCAAATAAAACGATATCTAAACTAAACAGATATCTGCGTTGACTTTGCACATGTGTGAGCATCAAACACAACCTTGTTGAATTTGCGAATTTCGCAGAAGAGTACGGGTTCAAGCATGTAACCAGCAGCCCAAATTATCCCTAGGCGAATGGAAAGGCGGAAAGATATGTTGGTGTTATAAAGAAGCAAAGGATTAAGTTCTTTGGCAACTATCTCACTGACAAAGGTCTAGAACCAGACCCTGACAAGATAGCGGCTATAACAGTTTTTATTATTGATTAATTGTAGGAAACCACCAAAGTTTAAACGGCATTACATTGCCCAATGTAACAGCATCGAACGACAATGCAAATTAACGCTATAAATAAGAGATCGAATACTTATCACTGATCGACAACTGCTAATAATAGGTGGGATTAAATACCTTTGTCATTATCGTGCAATTATAAGCACCCGCTCATTAGCACGGCTCCGGGAAAAAATAGGGTTCAACACGAAAGCTGGCTGTTAAAGCTCTACGAAATATGACATTAGCTACGCTATGCGATCCGTTCAGTGGATTAGACTCATGCATGTTATTCACGAACGTCATCAACAACGCTCATATCATAATATATGCTTTCTTATATGCTGCTAATTTCACACACACACACACACGCACGCACACAGGACACAGCACCCACCACACACATATATATTATCAAGAGTGCATAATAGAGATCTCTACTATGCACTCTATTATGCACATCTTATCTACATCATATATTATGCACTCTCTTATATACATCTCTATTATGCACTCTTGATATTATGTATATATTTTTTAAATATATATTTATATGATTTCATAATATGCTCTCTTGGGGTGAGGGGGCGCAGGTAAATGCACCCTAACACAAGCTCTTCGACAGCGAAAGAGAGTACACCTTCTTGTAAAGAGTTGTGCCTCGTGGTTTAGAGTTTAGACGAATCCCAGATTGATGCTTAATGATGAACAAAGAACGCGTAGAAGAATAGATTCAAGTTTCAATATTCTCAGGTTTTACGCAAAAAAATCTGAGACAGAAGACGAACGCAAGACGTAAAAGGCAGATTTTGATTTATTTAAATTTATCTGCTCATGATACACAAGAGTATTATCACAATCACGTAATACCTATCGGCAGGTGCAATAAATCTTTAATATATTACAATCATTGGCAAAACGATGTTTATATATATATATATGTATATATATATATGTATATATAATAACAAAAATAGATAAACTAGTTATACTAGATTATTTAGATATCTAGTTTATATATTTTTGATAATAACCAGGCAATCAACTACCTAGTTGCAAAAGCTAAGTGCTTATTAAAAAAACCTGTTACATTCACTGATGAAATTACAAGTTTTAAACTTACATTCGAACTAAGCTACGCCGCGAGGTTGTACTCTGTTCACGAACAAACGAGTACAGACGCACCTCTTGATTGCTTTCTTACAAATTGTCACGGGAGACACACGCGACCCCTAGCGGTGCGCTAGCGCTGGTAGGTTTCCCTTATAGCGTCGTCATGGCAACGTTACTCGGGAGAATGTCAAGCAATGCGCTGCAAGACTATTCTGTTTCGATATAGCTTAACCACCAGACACCCGCAATGACGCGCACGCACGCACTGCGTGAGACACAACAACAGGTGATTCCCACTTTATATGGAGGCTCTCCGATTACTATGCTTGTACCATCGTTCGCGACCCCACCCCTACTCAAACACACCTCTGTGCCTCTATCAACCTGTCACCTGCGTGCCGCTACGAAACACACGGAGTTCCACCCATACCAATGCGTTTATTCTTACTAGTGAATGACGGGTGGTGCTATGCAGTTCAAGCAGTTCAAGCATTCAGGCATTGAATAGAAGTGTCCAGGTATTGAATAGAAGTATCCAGGTCAGGGGCGTAAATCCGTACCGAGGAGTGGGGGGGGGATGATCGGCGATAGCCGGGAGCGAAATTAACCTTGGCTGCCGCAGGCAGGCCCGCGTGCCGTAGGCATGCCAGTGCTAGGGGGGTCTGGGGGTAAGCCCCCACAGAAATTTTTAAATATTTATGCCATTTTCCTGCAAACTGAGGCATACTGTGGTCCATATTCTCATGTCTGATGACACTATCACAACCCTAGACTCAACCCTACAAGTTAGGATTCAAAACACTTTTCATGACTTTTCAGAGAGCGTACACAGTTAAGTATAGTAATAATACATGTATTAAAACACAGGTAAGAATTGCAATTTCTCACAATTTCACGTGTTTTTGTATGTTTGCAACCATACTTTTTGGCTATTTTTTATTTTATTTTTTTGAATCTCAGGGCGGGATATTTGTACAGGCCATCCCCCCCTACTTCAAGAGCGGGGGGATGCACCCCCACCCCCCGGGACTTACGCCTCTGGTCCAGGTATTGAACTACAAGCGCCCAGGTACTGAATACAAGCGCCCCGGTATTGAATACAAGCGCCTAGGTATAGAATACAATTTGTTTTCCCCTCCACACTATCGTCTAGACCCCTACAGCATTCCAGCAGCAGCAGCCAAGCATACCACAGCGTGAGATGAGAGAGAGAACTTGAGAAGAAAGAGGAGAGAGAGAGGTGAGAGAGAGGAGAGAGCGAGAGAGTGAGAGAGAGAAGAGAGAGAGAGAGAGAGAGAGAGAGAGAGAGAGACGAGAGAGAGAGAGAGAGAGAGAGAGAGAGAGAGAGAGAGAGAGAGAGAAGAGAGAAGAAGAGAGAGAGATAGAGAGAAGAGAGAGAGAAAGAGAAGAAGAGAGAGAGAGAGAGAGAGAGAAGAGAGAGAGAGAGGAGAGGAGAGAGAGAGAGAGAGAGAGAGTAGAAGAGAGGAGAGAGAGGAGAGATAGAGAGAGGAGAGGAGATGAGAGAGATGCGAGAAATAGAGAGAGAGAGAGAGAGAGAGAGAGAGAGAGAGAGAGAGAGAGAGGAGAGATCGCGACGAGGGTGATATAAAGAACGATGCCTGATCGAACACACAAAGAGCGTTGCTCGTTGTAAGAAACTCATGTGAGTATGCGTGTGTCTGTGCATGTACGTGTGTGCGCGTGTTTTCGCGAGTCTGCGCATTTGTGTAGGTGCGCGTGCGTGCGTGCGTTGTTCTGCGGAGGCAGACGCGTGCGTGCATCCGTGCGTGTGTGTGTGCGTGCATCCGTACCAGTGTGTGAGCGTGCATCCGTCCATGTGTGCGTGCATCCGTACCCGTGTGTGTGCGTGCATCCGTGCGTGTGTGTGTGCGTGCATCCGTGCGTGTGTGTGCGTGCATCCGTGCGTGTGTGTGTGCGTGCATCCGTACCCGTGTGTGGGCGTGCATTCGTTCGTGTGGGTGCGTGCATCCGTGCACGCTACCCCATTATCAGGATCGCCCTGTCGTGAATGAGACAAGAGGAAGATGAGGATGAAGAGGAGGAAGAGGCGGAGGAAGAGGAGGAATAGGGCAAAGAGTAAGAAGAAGCCCTTTCAGCCGTTACCAGACGTTGCTGCCACACACACACGCCGACACACAGAGACCTGTATTGACACAGCACTGGCAGACCAGCCGCTATCTATTTCACGGCTTTCCGAGTCACATCGAGTGCCATTACCGTCACGTGATTGCTAGCCTGGCTTCGCAGCTAGAGAAGAGAATAGAGAACCCGCCCACCAGTGACGGTATCCGTCACAATGCAACCGGATGAAGACTAATGCCACTTCTATCTCGTTTCACCCCCATGACGTCACCAGACACTCACAATTCACGCCGAGATGCCCACAGAAAGAAGCGGTGCGCGCGCGAGTTGATACTAAGTAATGCTAGATGGCGCCACGCAAGGCATGAAAGCGGACGATGACATCGAGGGAGGTATGCCGACGGTTTCTGTTTGCTAGATGGAGTTAAGTATGATAGAGAGATGCGAGGATATTGTTCCCCGCATCACCCCTACGCGGTCGGCCGCCGACAACTACAAACGAAATAACGAGGAAACGTTTCGGGAGAAATAGATGTCGCTCGATTGTATTTACCGGGCGAAATAGATGTATTGGAACACAAATAGCGTTTCAGTGCATTCGCTATATGTCGCTGCCCTGGTACCAGGTTACTCTAGCCTTCACTGGAGCACACCCAGAGTGTAAAGCAAAACAGAGCCAGTAGTGAGTAGAGCTAAACAATGGTACATAGTCGCACAGAATCGTCAAACATATGCGTTACAATTAGTGCTTGCACCGCCACCACAAGTTAGGGGAAATGAGAGAGTCTGAGTGACATCTTATGATTGAGGGACAAGATTTGGAATGAACCGGAAAGATTTTACGAACACACCCGAGTCTCTAATAAAATGCATTTTACCAACAGCACTAGTAGCATCGGAGCGACCACTCCTGTAGTCCGATGTGAAATCTAGCCGAGGACCAGTGTGGTTACTTAGTTGTGTATAACGTCCACCAGATGCCAGCAGCTCGATTTACATCAGCTTTTTACCTCGAATATGACAAACTATTAGAAAGAAACAATACTAAGCCTCCGAGCGGGAGTGAAAAAGCCCCGTCCGCCCAGCTACACTACCATGCAACACCAGTGAGTCTCTTATCACTACGTCTAGCGTTTGCTTACACGCGTGCTGTGATACAAACCCACGTCACAGGCGAGCGAAAAAACAACCACCCCACCCCCACACACAATCCCTCACCCAGCCAACCTGCTCCCCCCACCCACACGCAAATCCACCCACCCCACCCACGCACAGAATGAGTTACCCAGCCAACCTCCTCCCCCTACACACAAGCAAATCCACCCACCCCACCCACACACACAGCACCTTAACCCAGCCAACCTGCTCTCCCCCCACACACAAACAACAACCACCCACCCCACCCACATACACATTCACCAACCCAACCCCAAACCTCACCCACTACCTAAGTAGACAATTTGATACAAAACATGAAAATCTTTCGCGGACGACCGTTTACGACGAAGTTTGTTCGCGCAAGGAATCGGGAGATAGAGAGAATATAGGTAGTATAGTGACCATGCGCACACTGACTAACTAGGCGTCAAGGTCATCAGAGGTCAGGGATGCCACCAGCTCGGTCACATACAGGAGGTCCACATTATATCTCACACCAACTGTTCACCTACCACGTCAGAATCTAGCTAGAGTCGATTCTTCATTTCTTACTGCAGCAAGTACGGGAGTATGAGCGTAACTCACTCATATATATATATATATATATACACACACTCACATATATATATGTATGTATATATATATATACACACACGCACACACATATATATATATATATATATATAAGTATGTATATGTATATGCACACATCATATTCAAGCAGCGATGACAATCATAACTGGCCAACAGGAACAGCTCAACCTACACACACGCGCACGCACGCACGCACGCACGCACGCACGCACGCACGCACGCACGCACGCACACACATCTCTATTTGTCTACACAACCAGCGATGATCACGCTCATCCCGCCATCGCCGCCTCGCCGCCGTTTCCGCAGCATCCCTCATCCCACACTGAAGCCATCGTGACTGCTTCCTGTTACTAGCCGCAGCTGCCGAATGCCACGACGACGAGGCTTCACAGTACAGCCGCCCCCGCTTTATCGGGACCAGTCGAAACACGACAGGTGGCTAAGCAGTGGTCCCGATTAAGCGGTGGACGCAACAACGGTGCGTGAGGATTGGTCTCAAGCGTCGTTTAAGCGGTGCGCCCGTTGATGCGTGGCCCAATAAAGCAGGGGGTTACTGACTGTACCACCGTAACGATGCCCCGCGACTACACCAGATAGTGAATCTCAGCGTACTAGCTAAACATGCACGTTGGTGCAGCGTCACAGAGTTCTAATTCCTTCGCACCAATACCACGCAATAATGTGCACGGTAACGATACGGTACTTTCTTACTCACACCACCACCTGTGCCAGACTGTAACAGTTGACGCGTACACATGTAGACACGTACCAATGGACAAGATTACACTAAGAAATAGTGTCCGTTTGTCAGCATGTACTACTCGCTGTACAAAGTGCCAGCACCACGTCACGTGCTCGTCTACCATCACGAAATAGTGCGTCAGATGTGTGCGATGATAGAAATGTTTACGTGAGCCACATTGTCGCCACACACAAACCCTGCAACTGGTTACTGAGAAAACTTCTAACGGACCTGCATTTACAACAACTATATATAATTAATACATATTCATACACACACGCACGCACGCACGCACGCACGCACACACACACAAACACACACATACACACACACTTACACTCACACACACACACACACACACATATATATATCTATATATCTATAAAAACAAATACAAGGCAAGTTTCAGGTAATTAAAAATAATATATACATTGTTGCGTTAACCTATCTACACCATTTCGCTCACAAAATGAATTCCACGACTTACATACTATGTGTGTCACCACAACCGTGTGTGTTCTCCAAATCTGAGCTCAGTATAATGCCTACCATAATTTAAAAATACTATTTGGATTCGTGATCGACAATAGGATCCTCTTAAAAATGTTGCAATTGCACACTGCCGGGTTATTGACGGTATTATACATTATAGGTTTATTATTGGTACTATGACGCCTGCCAGCTTACGTTCATGCCTGCCTGCCTGCACACCTGCATGCATACCTGCCTGCTAGCTTGCCTGCCTGCCTGCACACCTGCCTGCATACCTGACTGCTAGCTTGCCTGCCTGCCTGAACACCTGCCCGTATACCTGCCTGCATACCTGCCTGCTAGCTTGCCTGGCTGCCTGCCTTCTTTCCTCCTCACCTATCTAACAGACAGATGCAATCTGCAGTAGCATGCTAGAGTAACTACACAACTCACACATGGACAGACCTGGCAAACCTCCACGAAAATCCTTCCCATCATAACAAAACAACGAAATGCGTGAATAAATAGACAAGCAAACAGCTCTCGTGCATGGCTACGATCCTGCTCAACCGATAACTACACTTCAAGAAAAATCGGCTACGATGTCACGTTCATTTTCCAAATCCAGGTGGCAGCACGAGCTGGGAGTCCCCCTTTCACTTATAGCCAGGTCTTAGAAAACTTGAACATTGGTTCACAAGAGCATTGCTCTGGCTGTCATGCAAGTCAACAAGTAGTCATGGTGGTTCCCAAGCACGTGGCTCGCAATGCAGACTTTCCTCACCCACCCATTCGATGACATCGAGTAAAACGTCGAAAACTTTCGCTATTATTCATAATTACGACCAATACTTACTGAACCACTACTGGGAGCTGGTGTCGTAATCGTGGTCGTTAATAGCTATATCTGCACCTTGAAACTTACGACGCATCGGCACATGCTAAATTACAAATTAACAAACTTTCGGATGAAAACTCACTAAAGTAGGCTTGCCTGCACTGAACTCCATGGCTGGAACTTTGGTCGCACGGACAGCATGGTTGGGAACCAATGTATTATGGGAGGGCATGTATGCTATACAATCTTCAGTCATCGACGCACCCCGGGAAAACCCCACGGTTTATTTCTAGCTCCCACGCTGCACCGCACCCACAACGCGGCCGCTAGCGATGCTGCAGGGCAGAGCTATGCCCACGTAAAGCTGGATTTACAGTTTTACACTGCCAACTTTTTGTTGGCGAATTGCCGCATTGTACCAGCGTAAGATCGCACGGATGCAGCAACGATGCTAATAATACGCGACGTCACTTCCCCAACCTCCCTTCGCACTAAATGACCAGAATAAATACCCCGAAAAAATCATAAGCGATCGTTACGTTAGGAACTGACGGGCTGCACAATGGGAACTGGCGTAACACGAGAACAGGTGCGTGCGGAAAGCTTGCGTCGCTACATTGTGAGTAATTACAAAATAAGGGAAAACCGGAGACAGCGTTTCTCTCGCTCTCTCGAGTTTTTCTCGCTGGTGTTGGGACTGCCACCTATCACAGGAAGTTCTCTACTAAACGTCACAACCACGCTAGGCCGCGCACAAACGCAGAACCGCTGGCGCGCCAGGTACGGTGGAGCCACCTCATGTCACCGTCGATCGCGGTCGCTAGCAAAGGTTAGACGACGAGCGACGGACGAACATCGTCCGCACACAGGCGTCGGTATTCTGTCACAAGTGTCGCCCTCTACGTGCGGTCGAGGTCAGCGTTCGTCGACAGGACGCCGAAAGATCGTGGGGAGCTGTCCACTTGTTTTTCGCCAAGCGTCGTCGGTCGCCAACTGGCCGAGATTCTCTCGAGTTGCCGCGTCGACGATGTGCCGCGTCGAGACAATCGCTTCTCTACTCCCCCGCGACACGCGACACTGACGGCGCCATAGGACCGGCCGACGGTTGCCGTGACGCAAACGCAACACGGAGCCGCGATCACGCATCGCCGACGATGACGACGTCCCACCGCATCCCCGCTGCGCTAACAGTACGGGCTCTACTGATGCCGCCGCCGCCGCCGCCGCCACCTCCACCGCGACCGACCAACGGAGCGCCGGATGCCACACCTTCCCTCGCCTCGCTGCAATAAATAAAAACGCTCGCACGGCGAGCGTCGTAGCGCCACCTGGTGGTCGATCGCCACCTCGCATTCTCGCGCGGCCGAGTTCGCACGTTTTCGGACGTCGAGCCGATTTCCGCCGGCGAACGTCGGGGGCAGATGTCCCCGCCAGATGGCGTGCACGGTCGTCCGTGGCGAAAAAACGTCGCAGGGCGTTGCTAACGTGGGTTTCGCACTGACCTGCACGGATGCCTGTTAGGCAGGGTCTCCACGACAGAGAAGCAGGACAGAGGGTAATGTAGCGAACGCTCTATTAAACACTCGTCGCAGCCGCCGTTCACCCTCAGCGCCCTCCAGTGGTCAATGTCGTTTTGCGTAGTCGTCGCAGCGGTGATCATAATATGATGCAGCATCGACAGTAGCGTTGTCGGCCTCCGCCCACAGAGGGCGGTGGAGTCACTGGTGCAAAGTATGCGTGCACTTTGATGTCAGGCAGATGATTCTGGAAGGATGAGAGAGGGCTCCAGTTAGATTGTAGCATCGCTGGATCGGTCATGAGGCTGACACCCTGTGGCAGCCTCTGCTCAGCGTTCGCTACATTATTTAATAGATTTTATGCCGAGTTTGCATGCAATGTACAAATTCGACAAATGTACATATTCGTAGCTTTTTAGCAGATCTCTGGTCACCCTGACAATACATATACATTTAGCTTCATGATGACTACCGACAGCCAATGCTTTCACACCCTCCTCAGCCATATACCTCCCTCACCTGACCCTCCCCCGTCCCTCCCTTAATCTGTCAGTGTGCTTCAGCTTGTGGCACCACACCCCTCCCCCTCCCATAATCTCCCCTCCCCGCCACTACTCTTCTACTCCCCTCCGCCTCCCTTCCCCTGCTCCCCTCTTCCCTCTCCTACTCCCTTATTTCCCTCCCCTCCTCCTCC